GATCACAGTGGCGTGATGGGGAGGACAATGTTGAGAGTGCAGGCGGGAAACAAAAATGCCCCACAAGGTTGCTTTGAGGAGTAAGGCAGTCACAGAAGAGGCACCCAGCATGGTGCCCAGCTCCCTCAGCACACAGCACATCCCAGGAGCTCTTACTATGCTCTGGTTACCAGGCCCTCCTAGGGTTTATGGTCTTTGTAACCCATCTCCCTTTCCCCTATATATGGAATCGGGTGCCGCAGACACGACAGTAGCTCAATAAACAGTAGTTAACTGGTTCAAGGTTCATGGCTTTGTTGTTGTTTTTAATTTGCCTCCCCCCCATCCAGTAAGCCCTAGTTTCTCAAAGCAACGGACAGGAAATCTGGGAAGGAGTTTGAATAACAATTCCGGACTGTGCCACTCTGCCGCCACCTAGTGGCAACATACCTAAAGCGTAGAGCGATGGCTCCCGGCCACATTAGTGTCAAAAATAAAAGATGACACTACTGAATTGTACACTTAAAGATTGTTAAGATGGCACATTTTATATGTCTTTACCACGTAAAAAATTAATTAATTAAAGTGTAAGGTGAATTTAATTGAAGGAGTAAAATTAGTCCTTTCTCAGGATATAACATGCTTATCTTGGGGATTATTGTAGCACTCTCATATTTTCTCATTTACTACAAATGACATTTGCATAACATTATCATATGACAGTTCAAAGTACCTTTGTCCTATCTCTGCACTTCCCTCAAGCCCTTTAAAATTTCTCTTTGGGGGATACTTGGGTGGCTCAGTGGTTCAGCATCTGCCTTTGGCTCACATTGTGATCCTGGTGTACTGGGATCAAGTCCCGCATCAGGCTCCCCCCAGGAAGCGTGCTTCTCCCTCTGCCTTGTATCCGCCTCCCTGTGTCTCTCATGAATAAAGAAAATCTTTTAAAAAAAATCCAGAAATAGATCCAAGTATTTATGGGGACTTAATACATGAAAAGATCACAGTTCAATTCACTTGGAGAATGTTTCATTTACTAAGTATATCTGACCTACTGGCTGTTTGTCTGAAAGAAAACAAAGCTAAATCTTTCCTCACATCATAATAAAATTAATTCCAGATGGACAAGATATCTAAAGGTGAAATGTAACAATTAATAAAAGAGGAATTAGAAGAATATTTGAATAAATAAACTTAGACTGGGGAGACTTTATTAAGAAAAGCAGGAAACGCCACAAAGGAAGATAGACACCAAAATGGTAGGGGCACCCAGCTGGCTCAGTCAAGGAAGCACATGACTCTTGATCTCAGGGTTGTGAGTTTGAGTCCCACATTGGGTGTAGTAGAGATTATAATTAAAAATAAAATAAAATTGTAGGGGATCCCTGGGTGGCGCAGCGGTTTAGCGCCTGCCTTTGGCCCAGGGCGCGATCCTGGAGACCCAGGATCGAATCCCACGTCGGGCTCCCGGTGCATGGAGCCTGCTTCTCCCTCTGCCTATGTCTCTGCCTCTCTCTCTCTCTCTCTCTCTGTGTGACTATCATAAATAAATAAAAATAAATAAATAAAATTGTAAAACTTTAGAAGAAAGTACAAAGTTAAAATACAAGTTGGAAAAAATATGGGTGCAACACACTTGCTAGATGGCAGTTATTGTCTCTGACGGGGTCTGCAAACGTTTTCTGTAAATGACAGATGGTAGGGATCCCTGGGTGGCGCAGCGGTTTAGCGCCTGCCTTTGGCCCAGGGCACGATCCTGGAGACCCAGGATCGAGTCCCACGTTGGGCTCCCGGTGCATGGGGCCTGCTTCTCCCTCTGCCTGTGTCTCTGCCTCTCTCTCTCTCTCTCTGTCTCTCTGTAACTATCGTAAATAAATTTAAAAAATTAAAAAAAAATAAATGACAGATGGTAGATATTTGAGGATTCAGGGTCATAGGGCCTCTGTCACACTCCTCAGGTCTGTCTCTGTAGCACAAATTCCGTCATAGGCCATAAACAAATGAGCATGCTGCATTCCAGTAAAATTTTATGCATACTGAAATGTGCATTTCATGTCATTTCCACACATCTTGAAATATTCTTTTGATTTCTTTCAACTATTTTTAAAATGTAAAAAATGTTCTTAACCTAAAGGTCTTACAGAACAGGCAGCTGGCCAGTTTTGTCTAAGGGCCATAGACTGCAACCTCTGGTCTTTGATATACAAAGAGCTTCTGCTACTTGGTCACAAAAGGCAAAGGACAAAGGATGCGGACATGCCTGCTGCAGAAGAGGAAATCCAAATGGCCACTAAGCATTTGTAGCAGGATGTGGAATGAGATTTTTCCTGTTATCTGAGCACAATCTACAACAAATAATCCCACATTCTAGAGCACTGATGTGCTCTTGAAAGCTTTCTATAAAATACCAGAGCCAGTCTTTTGATAATTGTTTCCCATCACCCACCTCCAGATAACAGGCAACAACTAATTCAGGAAAGGACTGACAGGGAGGAGACTTGTGTCAGACCTAGTTTAGATGACTCCCAGAACAGATGATTTTTTTTTAAAAGATTTTATTTATTTATTCATGAGAGACACAAAGGGAGAGAGAGGCAGAGACACAGGCAGAGGGAGAAGCAGGCTCCGTGCAGGAGCCCGATGTGGGACTTGATCCCAGGGCTCCAGGATCAGTCCTGGGCCAAAGGCAGGCGCCAAACCACTGAGCCACCCAGGGATCCCCCAGAACAGATGATTTAACTCCTCTTCCCTACATTATTTTTAGCATTTATTTTTATCATGAAATAAAAATGTACCTAATATTGAAGGACTTACATATTTCAAAATAGTTCCAGATTTTCAATGACTTCCTCTTTCACTTATTTTTCTTTCTTAGGCTGTACTGACTCAATATCTTTTCATGCAAAGAGAGTGCCCTCCTCACACTGATCTAGCACTGCTGTAAAGATATTCTGTAGAGGTAATTATAGTCCCAAATCATTTGGCCTTAAGAGAGGGAAGTTAAGAAAAAAAAAAAAGAGAGAGAGGGAAGTTATCTGGGTAGACTTGACCTAATAACATGAGCCTTTTAAAAAGAGTTCTTCTGGCTGGCGAAGAAGCCCCAAGAAAGAAATCCAGTTTGGCCAAAACCTGACATTAGCCTCCCCGAGACATGCCACGCCCAGACTTCAGACCTACAGAACCTTAGGCTAATAAGTGGATGTTGTTTTAAGCCACTAAGTTTGCGATAAATCATTACATAATGATAGAAAACTTTTACACCTCTGCCCTAGGTACCTATCTGTAAGAGGCCTTAGGGGAGGGTGAGGGTTTTCCTTCTCCACCAGCCCTTGACTGCTCCGTGTTGCCGGACTGGGGCTAAGACAGTTAGTTGCTCCCACTCCCCTAGCCCCTGCCCCTCCTCTCATTCCCTGAGGTGTCCCCTGGAAGTATTTGGCCTCTGGTGCAGTCCTGAGAATCACTGCTTTGGTAAAACCCCATACTTTCCTTAGTCATCCCCTACCTTTGGATGTTTGGATGGTTTCCATTTTCGATACTGTAAATGAGGATACCACAAACATCTTTGTACATAAAACTTTGGATTTTCGGGATCCCTGGGTGGCGCAGTGGTTTAGCGCCCGCCTTTGGCCCAGGGCGCGATCCTGGAGACCCGGGATCGAATCCCACGTCGGGCTTCTCACGGTGCATGGAGCCTACTTCTCCCTGTGCCTGTGACTCTGCCTCTCTGTCTCTCTCTGTGTGACTACCATAAATAATTAAATAAAATATTTAAAAAAAAAAAAAAAACTTTGGATTTTGGCTGGTCTTCTTAGGATAAGAAATGCTGGGGATCCCTGGGTGGCTCAGCGGCTTAGCGCTGCCTTCAGCCCAGGGCATGATCCTGGAGACCGGTATGTAGTCCCACGTCGGGCTCCCTGCATGAAGCCTGGTTCTCCCTCTGCCTGTGTCTCTGCCCCTCTCTGTCTCCCATGAATAAATAAAATCTTGAAAGAAAGAAAAGAAAAAAGAAAAGAAACGAAAAGAAAAAGAAATGCTGAGTCAAGAGTAAATGAACATCTTTAAAGGCTCCTCCTATATATATTTTGCCAAACTTTTCCAGAAAGATTCTAACGGTCTACCACCCTGGTAGGGAAGTGTGATGTCTACGGTTATTGATCCAAGCTGAGCCAATAGAGACGGCGGCTCAAACGCTTGGAGGAGGTAGCTCAGGGGTCAGGGGGAGGGCCACCACCAATCTTTCATTCCACTTCCACTCTCTCCCTCTGAGTGGACCATCTTCACTCCCAAGTTTCCAGTCGCCCACTGGGAACTTCTATCGGGAATCCCAAAGGCACCCAAACCTAACGTGTCCCAAACCAAGGCATTTCTCACCTTTCCACCTCTATTCCACCAACATGCCCCACATGTAGAAAGCAGACCTATCGGGATCCCTGGGTGGCGCAGCGGTTTGGCGCCTGCCTTTGGCCCAGGGCGCGATCCTGGAGACCCAGGATCGAATCCCACGTCAGGCTCCCGGTGCATGGAGCCTGCTTCTCTCTCTCTCTCTCTCTCTCTCTCTCTCTCTCTCTCTCTCTCTCTCTCTCTATGACTATCATAAATAAATAATAAAAAAAATTAAACTGCTCTTTAAAAAAAAAAAAAAAAAAAGAAAGCAGACCTATCACTGCGGCAGGGAGCGCGCTGATAACCGCCACAGCGCCTGCGCACCTACGCACAGGGCGAAAGCGTGACGGACATTCGTCCGGTAGGCGGTGCCCGAAATGCAGGCAACCGCCGCAGGCCCTGAGACGCGATTTCGGTGATGGGAGCCAAGCCCTTCGCGCGCCGGAGCCCAACTTTCGCGCCCTACGGGACACAACTGCGCAGCCGCCGTAAGGCCGCCAGACCTCGGGGCCCGGACGCCGGGCGCGCGAGCCGCCGTACTGAAGTTTGTGCGCACGCGCCCGGAGGCGCGGCGTCTGAGAACCAAGAAGGACGCGGGGGGGGGGGCGGAGGGGGCGGGGGGGCAGGGCTGAGTCCGTCTCGCGCATGCGCGCGCCGTGCAAACCATTTGGCGGGTTTTTTCGGGTTGCTTTCTGTTCTACGCAGTCTTTAGATGCTCAACTGAAGTTTTCAGGAAACAGGACGTTGTCCCCAGAAGAGCGAGCTAACGAGATTTCTGCTTCCATCCTTCGGGCGTTTGGGGCTCCTCCCACATTAAAAAGAAGTGTTTCTCCGTGACCGACGCCTAGGGCCTTCCGACCGCCGGAGGGCTTGGGCCACTAGGTCTTCTTCAGTCGCGGCCCCCGCGAGGGTGAAAGGATCAGAGGGACCAGGTCCTGCGTATCAGTCTCCACGCCGTGAGTTCCTTGAATTCGGGTCCGAGCTCGGTGGGCCGGGCCCCCGGCCTCCCTCCTGGGTCGCCATGAGCGTGTCCGCCCAGCGCCTGGTGGAGGAGTTGCAGATCTTCGACGTAGATTGCGAGGCGGCTTTGACCGACAAACGTGAGTCCCTCGCCCCCTTCCTGGACCCCAGCCGAGGTCCACGTCCCGCCCCGTGTTCCCAGTCTCCTAGAACCCAAAAGAGAACGCTTCCAGGTTTCCCTTCCCCTAGATCAGACCTCTTGGTGGTCGAGAGATGAAGCATTAAACCAAGTTTTGAGATTTGGGATGTGGGGACTTTGAAATGTTTGCAGTGTACGGCTTGGATCCCAACTCAAGAATAAGAATATGAAGCACGACTTTGAATCAACGCAGTTTCAGAAAGGGGGAATTGGGACGTGCCAGGTTCACTGCGCCCGGTGGCAGAGTTGGGAAATTATTTAAGCCTCCCTAACAGAACAAGAGATGTGAGTGTTTTGAAATGTCAGTTTTTAGTCCTGGCTACTCCCTTTCCAGTCTACACTTTAAACTTCTCCTGATCCTTCACTTCTCATCAAAGCTGTTGGTGGCCTGTGCAAATATGAACCCTTGAGGTGGATTTTAGCTTTGGTAAAAACTTTGGGGAATTTGTCAGCTGTTTATAGAGGGAGAAACAAATGAGACTACCGGTGAACCCCAGTCTCCTTTCCTCAACTCCAGTGCTCTTACTGGTCACGCTGTGGGGCAGGAGATATTTGAAGCAGTGTCTTGGGAGATGTAGAGTTCTCAGTTTTAGAATTAGGATGAATGTGCACCTGCCTTAACCATCAGCACTTTTAACTTCTTTTTTAATGTATAAAACCAGAATGCAAACACATTAACTTATTATAAGATACCAGAATACTCCAGGTTCTTATGCCCAGGGCACTCTTTCCCAAGATGTCGTTGCTTCCATCTCACAAAACTAGTTTGGCAGTGGTGTTGGAAATCTCTCTAGGCCTTGATTTCATAATCACTAACCTCAGTGGGACTTTTAACATTGCCCTGCAGACTGTATTTCTCTGGACTATTCCCTCTGCATGTTCTGGATGACTATTCCCCACCTTCTCCTTTTAAAGTCCTTCTGTCCCACTCAAGGCTGATGAACTTCTTGTTTCACCAAGAAAGTAGAAACAATTAGAAAACTTCCATAGGAATCCCTGGGTGGCTCAGCGGTTTGGCGCCTGCCTTTGGCCCAGCACACAAACCTGGAGTCCCAGGATCGATTTCCGCGTCTGGCTCCCAGCATGGAGCCTGCTTCTCCCTCTGCCTGTGTCTTTGCCTCTCTCTCTCTCTCTCTCTCTCTCTCTCTCATAAATAAATCTTAAAAAAAAAAAAAAAAAGAAAGAAAGAAAGAAAGAAAGAAAGAAAAGAAAACTTCCATAAACTTCCACAAGAAACTATTAGAAAACTTCCACCATTACTTCTTCCCACCTACCTCTTCCGTCCTATTACAATGAATAAATTCTCCATATTCCTAGCAAAATCCAAACCCTCCACTCAAGTCCTAAATCCCATTTCTTCTCAAGCCTTCTTAAGAACGTCACTCCAGGGCAGCCCGGGTAGCTCAGCGGTTTAGTGCCTGCCTTCGGCCCAGGGCGTGATCCTGGAGACCCCGGTTTGAGTCCCATGTCGGGCTCCCTGCATGGAGCCTGCTTCTGCTCTCTCTCTCTCTCTCTCTCTCTCTCTCTCTCATGAATAAATAAATTTTAAAAATCTTTAAAAAAAAAGAACATCACTCCAGTAATTCTAACCTCTTACATATTTTCTATTTTTCTTGCTATAAGAGTTTTTCTCCTAATAGTTTAGAAATGTGGTTTTTGCTCCGTTTTTAAAATGCCTGGGTGCCTCAGTGGTCGAGCGTCTGCCTTTGGCTCAGGTCGAGATCCTGGGGTCCTGGGATCGAGTCCCACATCAGGCTCTCCACAGGGAACCTGCTTCTCCCTCTGCCTATGTCTCTGCCTCTCTGTGTGTCTCTCATGAATAAATAAATAAAATCTTTTTAAAAAATTAAATACTCTATTGAACCCGCTCTCTCAGGGATCCCTGGGTGGCGCAGTGGTTTAGTGCCTGCCTTTGGCCCAGGGCGCGATCCTGGAGACCCGGGATCGAATCCCACGTCGGGCTCCCGGTGCATGGAGCCTGCTTCTCCGTCTGCCTGTGTCTCTGCCTCTCTCTCTGTGTATCATAAATAAATAAAAATTAAAAAAAATAACTTTGAACCCACTCTCTCTTCCAGTTTTCTCCTCCCCAATTACAGTACACCTGTTCAGAAGGATTGCCTGTATTTATTGTCTTCAAATTGTTCCCCCTTAAGCTTATTTCAGTAAGCTTTTTCTGCACCAGCACTTTGCTGAAATCGCTCCTCTCAAGGAGAGGACCTTAACTTAGCTAAACTCACGGTGAACTTTCAGTCCTCATCCAGGATTAGCATCATTTGACACCATTCATCATATCTTCTTTGAAATGCATCTTTCTCTTAGCTTTTCAGACGCTACACCTAGTTGTCCTCTCGTCTTGCTTGTCACCACTTCTCAGCCTCGTCCTGAGTCCCAAATACACACACTTCCTTAGTTCTCTCACCTGGTCTCGTGGCTTTTCATTCCATGTGTTGCTAATAATTCCCAGGTGTATATCTTAACCTGGACCCCTTGCAAAACTGCAGGCTGGATATGGAATTGGCATCTCGAACTCCATGTTCTTTTTTTTTTTTTTTCCTTTTTAAAGAATTTATTTATTCACGAGAGGCAGAGACACAGGCAAAGGGAGAAGCAGGCTCCACACAGAGAGCCCAACTCAGCACTTGATCCCAGGTCCCCTGGATCATGCTCTGGGCCAAAGGCAGTGCTAAACCGCTGAGCCACTGGGGCTGCCCTCGAACTCTGTGTTCTAAAAGCTAAGCTCCTGTGTGTCCTCCCTCTCCTCACAGTGCTTCCTCCTCATACTTGGTGCTCAGGCCAAAAACAGCATCATCCTTGACCCCCGTTCTTCTTCACATCAGCAAATCCCGCTGCCTTTACCCTCAGGATGCTTCCCATCTGAAATCCAACCACTTCTCCCCACCTCCACTGCCACCACCTTGATCCAAGCCACCATCGTTTCTCACCTGCATTTCTCCAGGGTTCTCTTAATTAGTCCCCTGGTCTTCCCTCATCACCTTCGTTCTGTGCTTAACACAGCATCTGGAGTGATCCTGTTGGGTGGACGCTGGATCGTGTTACTGTTCCGCCTGAGCCCTTTAGTGTTTTCTAAGTTTTCAGAGTACTAACCAGGGCAATTTCAGTGGCCAAAAATCTACACACACACCCCTTGATCCTTGAACTCATCTTTTTTTTTTTTTTTTTTTTTTTAAGATTTTATTTATTCATGAGAGACACAGAGAGAGAGAGGCAGAAATGCAGGCAGAGGAAGAAGCAGGTTCCCTGCGCGGGCTTGTTCCAGGACCTTGGGATCTTGACCTGAGCTAAAGGCAGATGCTCGACCATTGAGCCACTCAGGTGCCCCTCAAACTCATCTTCTGTCTTCTTCCATATTACGTTCCAGCCATAGTAGCCTTGCTGACCTTGCCTGTGCCTCAGAATCTTTGCTTGAGAGCTCTTTCCCCAAATACTGCATGGCTCACTTCCAGTCTTCCACCTTCTCAGTGCAACCTTCCTTAATCGTTGTATTGAAAATTACCAACCCCTGCCCCCAGCCCCCTTATCCCTTCCCAGCTTTATTTTTCTGCACAGCCCATTTAACCCTCTAACATTCCACAGATTTTACCGACTTATTTTTCTGTCTCCAGTAGTAAGCGTTGGGGAGACAAGGATTCTTTTCTGTGCTGTTCACTGCTGCATTCTCATGTCTGGAACGGTGCCTGGCACTCGTGGGTGCTGACTAAACACTGACTGAAGAAATCAAGGATTGTTTTCACTTCTCATGGAGAAAGCTGCAGGAAATAAACTGACTCCTTACCTGCCCTGTTTTCCTTCTCGCAGTGGTAGAGCTGTGCATTCTGTATGGACAGAATGAGGAGGGAATGGTAGCTGAGCTTATAGCCTTCTGCACCAGCAAGCAGAAAGTTGGCCTTACTTCAGAGACACTGAACTCTTTTGAGCACGAGGTAAGAACAAAATTTAAGGAAACTAATATTGCAATTCTCCATTTCTGTTCCTGAGTGGAGGTGTGGCAATGTAGCATGCAAAGAGTGTGGGCTTTAGAATCAGATCTGGACTCTGATCCCAGTATGCACTTGGGCAAACTACTTAATATCTGTCCCGAGCCTCCGTTTCCTCTTCTGTTAGTCATTCTGATAACCCATGTTGTTTTATGGTTCCTGTAAGAATAAGGGAGCGCAGGTATAAAAACTGTAGGTCAGGTGGTAGGGCTTCAACAAATCATTGGTGGTGGTGGTAGATTTAAGTGGTTACAGACAGTCACAGCATAACTCTTCAGTTTTTAATCTGTCATGCATCTTCGTAACTTAATTCTTCCTTGGAGGAATTTTATATGTTAGATTATAATTTGAACCCCTGTTATTACATCATGGTCATGGAAAACACCCCCTCTGTTACTTGACTGTGGAATATTATATTCATTATCTTTTTATTCCTCAGTGTCTGAGCAAAAAATTGTCCAGAGCACCCCAGGATGGTGGGCATGCAGGAGCCAGAGACATTGTTTCCATCCAAGAGCTGTATCCTTTCGTGCTGTATTTTGTAATTGGTGTAATTTAAAAACAAATAACAAAAGTGCCTACTATTCAGATTTCTTATTTAATCAACCCTTACCTTAGATTTTGGGTGGAAATCTGTTTTCCTTGAGCACTCTTTGTAGAATCGAAGTGGAGGAAGAAGAAGAGAGCCTCTTGAACTCTTACACCACACCCTCTAAGGTGAGCATATGTTTGAAGATTGCTTTCTACCAAGTAGCACTTTTTTCTTTATTCTAAGAATATTATCACAATATTTGAAGTTCTGAGGGAAAAAGTAACCACCCATACTGTTCCTACTGTGTTTCCACTTAACACTCCTTCCTTTCCCATCACGGGCATAGCTGTGTTTATATAATGGCAGTCTTCGTGACCATATAGTTATCCTGCTTTTTTCAATGAGCATATCATAAAATGTTCATAAATACAATTTCTCCATAATTACTCTTTGTAAAAGTTGCAGAGTGTTGCATCAGGTGGAGGTGCTATAGCTGAATGATCCAGTTGTAGTGTTGGGTCCAAACATGAGAGGTAGGATAGGGAAGTGGAATAGTATTGACATCAAAGCCTGAGTCAAAAGACCTGGGTGACCTTGGGTGAGTCGTTTTATCTCTCTGAGCTGTAATTTCCTTATCTCTAAAATCACAATGCTTTCATTCATTTACTGAGCAGCTGCTGTGTGCCAGGGCCTGGGTGGGCACTGTGTAAACAGTGGTGAATGAAATAGGCACGGCTAGGCTCTGCCCTCAAAAAGCTCCAGATTGTAGAAACTCATAAACATGGAGTGAGCCTTAATTTTTCAAAGTAAGTTACATTGTGAGAAAGAAGATAAGTAGCTCTCGGTGCCTATAGAGAGCAAGAAAGCCAAAAACATGTTCCGTGAAGTTGTTGACACAAAACAGGTGCATATAACATTTTATGTGGACATACTGTAATTTTCCTTAGCTTAAAATTGAAGAGATATAAAATCAATACTTGAGGGTGCCTGGGTGGCTCAGTCAATTAAGCATCTGACTTCGGCTCAGGCCATGATCCCTGAGTCCTGGTTTGGAGCCCTGCATCAGGCTCCCTGCTTAATGGGGAGCCTGCTTCTCCTTCTCCACCCTGCTCATGCTCCCTCTCACTAGTTCTGTCTTTCTCTCAAATAAATAAATAAAACCTTAAAAAATAAAAGTCAACACTTGACATTCCCCCTAGAGCTGACCCTGTCCTAGAGCCCATATCTCACTAAAAAGTGCTTCCATTCTTGGGTTTGCTAAGGCCAGGAACCTTAGAGACCTCTGAGTGTCCTCTCTCTCACACCCTGTTTTCATCTCATCCACCAGTCCTGTCAGCCCTCCTGGGATCCTGGCCCTCTCACCTTGTCCACTGGGACCTGGTAATGACAGGTCTTCTGAACGCACTGTCTTCTTCCTTCCGAACGAGTGGGATAGCTTCCTATCCTGGCTTCATTCTGCTTTGTCCTCCTCTAAGCAATTCGCACCACAGCCAGCCAGTGGTTCCCCACTCCTTTCAAATGCAAGTCAGGCCAGGATTTTGCGCTCACACATCTCCACTGGCTCTCCCATCTTCCCTGACAACCTTCTGAGGGTGTGTGAGGGTCTGAGTTGGCCTTGCTCCCTTGTCCACTTCCCACTTCTCATTCTGGTTTTCTTGCTGCTCTTCAAACACATCAGACACACATCCAACTCATCTGTCCCCTGTCTGAGGGAGCAAACCCCTTTCTTTTTCCCTCCTTTGTTTTCTTTTCTTGCTTTATTTTTCTCTGGAACTTAGTACCATGAAGCATGTTATATATTTGCTATTTTGTTTAACCTGCCACTCTCTGTGGGAAAGAAAGCTCCCTGAGGGCAGGTGTTGCTCTACTAGCTGCTCTTCTCCCAGAGCCTGGCACTTTAATCATTGCAGGACAGACCTTCTGAATAAGACTGGTTGCTTTTTCCCTAACCAGCGTCAACCAGAATCACAGAACCTAGTGGGACTGCCACATGTAGATCTGATTGACAACCTCCCAGCTCCAGAATTTGTGATTTGTCTGTATATCCAGTGTCGATCATGTTCCTGGGGACAGACTCATGGTAATGTAACTCTGAGTAGAATGACACATAGGTCAGATATAAATTGACTTCATTTACTCTGGAAGTATATGCCCTTCCGATGATGTTTCCATCACCCTGAGGGCGCCCATTCCCGCCACAGAGGAGTTTAGGAGGCTCAGTTGTGGATCACATTTGGTGACCAGGCAATCAGTTAAGTGAGTCGGTTTAAAAGGAGCAAACAATATGAAATACGTGTCTGAAGCTCAGAGGAGACCATGTGAGTCTGACCTAGAGAAACATAAAATACTTAGTATCTATCACATGGAAACTGCTCAGACATCATTAGGCCACACATCAATGGCCTCTGACAAAGTAGTCATATTGCCAAATATTGGCCTTTGACACACAAACAGTGTTGCACAAGGCTGCCAGACCCTCGTCAGGTTTTCAGGACAGGTCAGTGAGCCTGTGGCATAGAGGCGAGTGTTCCGGTGGCCTTACCTTATCATCATTAAATATTTGACTTGTGCAGTTGACAGCTATTCTTTTGCTTCCATGCTCACCATAAATCCCCTGGTGATAATTTGGCTTTCCACATGTCCTGCCTGACATGGAGGGAATGTGCTAGCCTGCGGATTTGAGGTTCCTGTGCCACCAGCATTATATTTCTAGTAAGTTAATAAACTGGCAACCTGGGCTATAATTTGGGTTTTTGTGCGGCATGAGAATGTGCTTACCCTGGGATATGAGACTATGGTACCCTCGGTCGCTGTACTTCTCACTACAAGGGAGTAGGCTGGCATGTAGTGCTAATAGCAAGTCTCATGAGATTGGTTAGAATGAGTGCATCCCTGAGAAGCATAACTGGAGTTGGTTTGTTGACACTATCAGGTTTCACCGCGAGGGCTGCAGTCAAGGGCAATGAAATGGCACCATCTCCCAGAGTGCCATCCTCTTGCCATGTCCTGGGAGACAGACTTTCTTTCTCTTGGAATGCTCCCACACAACCTTGGCCCTAGCATTTGACAGCCCCTGTGTATTACAAGAATCGTTTACAAAAATAGTTTGAGAAACTATGTCAAAACCATAAAATCTTAACCATCCGTTGGCCTAGTAATTGTCTCTAGTCAGAATGTCTCCTAAAGAAATAATCCAGGGGATCCCCGGGTGGCTCAGTGATTTAGCACCTGCCTTCGGCCTAGGGCGTGATCCTGGAGTCCCGGGATCAAGTCCCACATCCGGCTCCCAGTATGGAGCCTGCTTCTCCTTCTGCCTGTGTCTCTGCCTCTCTCTCTCTGTCTCTCTCTCTCTCTCTGCATCTCTCATGAATAAATAAAATCTAAAAAAAAAAAAAAAAGAATGAATGAATCCAAATTATGTGAGGGGCTATCCACATGAAGATGGGTATCTTCACTCATCTTTTTTTTTTTTTAAAGATTTTATTTATTTATTCATGAGAATACACAGAGAGAGAGAGAGAGAGAGTCAGAGACACAGGCAGGAGAAGCAGCTCCATGCAGGGAGCCCGACGTGGGACTCGATCCCGGGTCTCCAAGATCACGCCCCGGGCTGAAGGCTGGTACTACACCGCTGAGCCACTTGGGCTGCCCTTCTTCACTCATCTTTACCTCGTGAAGATTGGGCATATATAATCACTCAAAATTACAAGCATTCCATACATCCAGGGGGTAGAGAAGTAGTTATGTAAGCTACTATATGTATTAATTACAGCCACTACAAAGGACAAAGGTTGGGATCCCTGGGTGGCGCAGCGGTTTAGCGCCTGCCTTTGGCCCAGGGCGCGATCCGGGAGACCCTGGATCGAATCCCACGTCGGGCTCCCAGTGCATGGAGCCTGCTTCTCCCTCTGCCTGTGTCTTTGCCTCTCTCTCTCTCTGTGTGTGTGACTATCATAAATAAATAAAAAATTTTAAAAAAAAAGGACAAAGGTTGTGACAATGTGGGAAAGTGTTCATGGTTAATACAGCATGAAAAAAATCAGTATATGTAATATTCAAATAAAGGGTTATATTTAAACTAAGATTGTAAGTATTAGAAATTCTATTTTTTTAATTGGAAAACTATAAAAACACTAGAAAAGAGTATTTAAAAATAGTTATGAGAGTGGTAGCATAAGGGTCTTTGTAAGACCTAATACCCATCCTGGCTACTTGATGGTGGTCTGGAGCCCGTTCTCTTGTCTTCTGTTCCCAGTCATCACCAGCAGGCAGCTGTGGTGGCAGAACTTACGTACGCAGCCAGGGGGAGCTCAAGGGCAGGGAATCCTCTGCACACCAGCTGGCCTCCTGGTTGTGGTCCCAGCAAAGATTTTATCTTGGCTCTGCCACAGCCAGCTATCCTAGACTGTGGGAAGCACTAGACTTCTGAGCTGTGGGCTTCATCCTCCATCCCGGGCACAGCTTTGGATTCTTGTTAATGAGCAAAAGCCAGAAAACAGAAGTGACCATCAATGAGGTATTTGCTAAATAGTCAAACCAAGAGCTCAGCTGTGCCATCTGCCTGGAATCGTTCCCTTCTCTAATTTTGAAAACGTGCAGTGGACTTTGCCAAAATGAGTAGTAACGTGATCCCATCCCTCCTCAGGAAAATATGTCTGCCCAGGTCAAAACTCACAGCTGTTCTAAAGCAAAAGGAGAGAGACAGAAAGTGACCATGTGAACAATTTGACAGCACGGATTGCCTTCTGGGAAATGTTGATACTTTTTCATAATTGCCCTCAAAATGAGGACAGGACTCCAATGGATTTGGTGATAGCCACTAAAGATTTCTGAAGGGATTATGTTTAGAGATGGGGCCTTAAGAAGAGAACCAGCTGGGACGCCGGGGTGGCTCAGTGGTTGAGCATCTGCCTTTGGCTCAGGGTGTGATCCCGGGATTCCAGGATCGAGTCCCACATCAGGCTCCCTGCATGGAGCCTGCTTCTCTCTCGCCTATGTCTCTGCCTCTCTTTCTGTGTTTCATGAATAAATAAATAAAATCTTTGACGGGGGGGAAAGAAAACCAGCCCAGTCTTTCCTTGGGCCCCATGCTTTTCTTCCTCAGGGACTGTACACTCAGGTAGTAACCCAGGTCTGCAGTGACTGGGCTCTTATTTTCTGTTTTGTTCCTAGGGTTCTCAGAAGCGAGCTATCACCACCCCAGAAACACCCCTAACAAAAAGGACCGTGTCTACTCGGAGCCCCCATCAACTCCTCTCGCCTTCAAGTTTCTCTCCAAGGTATGGATCGGCATGAATCCAGCTGCCAGATGGCAGGCCTGCCCTCCCCTTTCTGTGGTGGTCAGGTGGCTGACCCCGCAGTGTGACAGTCTCCATGCAGGTGCCTCTGCGGTGCCTGCCTCCAGAGCCTCTTGCTCTCTGCCCTCCCTCCCTACCTTCTCCTGTGTGGAAAATCCCCATGTCTTGCAGCAGTTAAGGAAACTCATTTTCCACCCAGTTTTCTGGGGTTCATTTCCTAGATCAGGAACTGATATCTTCTCTAGAAAACAACCTGTCTATTCACAAGTCTGGGAGTCTCAGGAGTCTTGGAGTAGAGACAAATAGGTTTCTGCCTGCCTCTGGTAGTTTGGTGTTTTGGGGTTTCTTCCCTTCTTCCTCCCCCTCTTCACCAACAGTATCTATTTTTCAGAAAGTAAAGCACGTACCTGTGTTCATCATGTCATGTAACCTGTTTATTGTCCCTCTCTCGGGTTACAACTAGTTTCTGAGAGTTGGCAAGTCACTGTGAATCTACAAAGACTTAATTGGCATTTTTTCCCTGCTGCCACTTCTGCCCATAAATCCACAAAGATCACGGGTGATGGTTTTTTGAAATCCATAAATGACATGTCTTCTGTTAGAGAATTCCATGGGTGAGGGCCCTGCCGAGTAGAAGAAAGGTTTGGTGCTGCCACACCAGGATGAGGCTAAGGAACTGTCAGCGTTAACCATTTAGGGATATGCTACCAAGAGTCACTGCCTATATTGTGGGCCACTTCTAGACGAAGCAGAGCTTTAGATTTCCCAGCTTTGTCACTGTAGAAAGGAGGGGTAGCAGTCATACCATACAAGTGGTCGTGGGATTCAGAAGGACGGGTTTCTCTAGCTTGGTCCACTGCTACTTTGGGGAGCTTTCAGACTGGTTTTGGAAGCAAGCTTTCCAGACATAGGAGGGCGTCTTTGAAACTGGATGGGTAGAGGATGGTTCTCATCACCTGAACCAGCGCCATTCCAGAAACTTCATTTCACTAAAGGGCCGGCCGTCTTACCTGTCCCATGGAGCTGCTTTGGGAGGAGCTCAGAGAAGTCGGCAGTATGCTGCCTAGGCACTTTTTAATGCACGCTAATAAAGCTGACATCAGAAACTGGTTTTGTAATTTATGAAAGTAACTTCTAAATTATTCAGGTAGAGGCAGCACTGGAGATGGAGATCATTAGTGGAGCTCATTTTCCGCAGCCTCTGTGGACAGGAGGTGATGGCACCAGTGGCAGTACTGCCCACATAAAACTCGTTCCTGCAGACTCCCAGTGCACAAAGTGCAGACTGTTTGGAGGAGACCCAAACAGTGGATGTAAGCAACATCCACAGCCAGAGGATTAGGTGCCCTCACTGCCTTCCTAGGAGCTCAGCGACGTTCATGATTCCCTATTGACCAGTCAGTGCATGGAAATACAAGAATTTGTCAGTTGAGCCTTGGAGAATGGAAATGTTTGTTCACCAGCCAACTGAATTCATTCCATCTCCACCTCCACAGACACTGGGGAAAGTTGATTAACTGTTCTTAACTTCATTTTATTGTGTCTACCTTGAACTATATTGTTAGGTATTATAGATCCACAGCAGCTTTGAGCTTATCCACAGCCAGACTCTCATGTTATTCATTCATTCATTCATTCATCATTCATTTATTTATTTTTATTTACGATAGTCACAGAGAGAGAGAGAGAGGCAGAGAGAGCAGGCGAGAGGGCAGACCAGGAGAGAAGCAGGTCCATGCACCAGGAGCCCGACGTGGATTCGATCCCGGGTCTCCAGGATCGCACCCTGAGCCAAAGGCAGGCGCCAAACCGCTGCACCACCCAGGGTTCCCTCTCATGTTATTCTAATAAATGGTAAAAAAAAAAAAAAAAATCATCAGAGAGGCGCCTGGGTGGCTGAATCAGTTAAGCATCTGCCTTAAACTCATGATCCCGAGATCCTGGGATCGAGCCCCTCTCCCCGCATCAGGCTCCCTACTTGGTGGGGAGCCTGCTTCTCCCTCTCCCTCTGCCCTTCCCCCTCTCGTGTTCTCTCTTTCTCTCTCTCTCAAATAAATAATCTTTAAAAAATTTATAAGAAAGAAAAGAAAGTGGAACTTGAAACTTTTTAATCCATTCAGTTTGGTTTGGTTTTGCTTTGTTTAGTTGTAAGCCAGGAGAAAGCCGTTTAAAATATGTCTCTGTCTCTAAACTTAAACTCATTCCTGAAATTCCTTAAAGGTCGGTATGTGCAGCCCCATTAAGTTGATTAGATTTATAGAATGTGAAGCCAGCTTGACATTCCTCCAATCCCCATTTCCAAAAGGTAACCTTATTTTATTCCCCTCTCTCATTAGATAGGAATACAGTAATGCTTATCTGTTTTGCTTCCAATCAGTGCTACTCCCTCTCAGAAATACAGCTCAAGAAATAACCGAGGAGAAGTGGTTATCTCCTTTGGCTCAGCACAGGGAGTGTCTTGGTCCGGAAGAGGAAAGGCCAGCAACATCAGCCTGAAGGTCCTAGGGTGTCCAGAATCACTAACTGGGAGCTACAAATCAATGTTTCAGAAACTTCCAGATATCCGAGACGGTAATTGTTTTTCTTTTTGCAACTCTGGAGAATATAAAACTACCTAGAAAGGTTTACAGTGAGTAACAAAGCTTCAGCTAGGCTGGTAGAAAAAGTTCCAAGGTTGCCTTTTTTTTTTTTTTTATTTATTTATTTATTTATTTATTTATTTACTTACTTACTATTATTTATTTATTTATTTATTTATTTATTTATTTATTTATGATAGTCACACAGAGAGAGAGAGAGAGAGAGAGGCAGAGACATAGGCAGAGGGAGAAGCAGGCTCCATGCACCGGGAGCCCGACGTGGGATTCGATCCCGGGTCTCCAGGATCGCGCCCTGGGCCAAAGGCAGGCGCCAAACCGCTGCGCCACCCAGGGATCCCCCAAGGTTGCCTTTGAATACAGAAGTTGGTAGATGTCCTCCAGATGCCCCTAGAAGTGGAAGGACATGAGGTGACCCTCTCAGTAATTCTACCAAGTCACTTTGCTTCCCTAAAGAAAAAGCGCAGAACATTTTCCAGTGACAACCATTTGAACTGTGTAAAAGAAGCCAAATAAAGTCAGACATTTTTGGTTTCCTCCCTGTAAAGAATGGAAGATTCTCTAGATTGGACTTGACTCCCCCTAGACCTCACTGATGACCGGAGTAAAGGGAAGGCTGGGCTGTGGGCATCCGTGCTGACTCTAGGAGATTGTGCCCCATGATCCATGGCCAAATGGAAAGCCAGCTCCCATAACCAAATATTGGGAGATTGGCTAGGGCTTTAGAAAGTGGTCCTGGGCACCCTCCTGCTTCTGTAAAATGACTGACTGCAGTATTTTACAATGCACTGTATCTTCTCCTCTTGGCAAGTGAAATGTTCTAAACGTAGTACTTTTTCCCCTCTGGGCTTTTAGTTCTGACCTGTAAGATAGAGGAGCTTGGCAGCGAACTCAAGGAACATTACAAGATTGAGGCTTTTACTCCTGTTCTGGTCCCAGCTCAGGTAAGAATTGTTCTCATAGTCCTTCCTAATTAATTTTGTATTTTTAAACTGATGGTAAAAAAAGGTATTCTTGCTTCGTTTTTCATTTCTTGTCTGCATTCTAGTTAGAATATCTATCTTGGTCAAATTTTGTAAAATGGATCCTTCTGAAGAAAGACTTAGAAGTGCTCTCTGGTTTTGTGATCAGAGATGACCATTTTCTTTGCATATTTTTTTAAAGATTCTATTCATTTATTCATGAGAGAGAGAGAGGCAGAGACATAGGCAGAGGGAGAAGCAGGCTCCATGCAGGGAGCCCAACGTGGGACTCAATCCCGGGACTCCAAGATCATGCCCTGAGCCAAAGGCAGACGCTTAACCACTGAGCCACCCAGGCGTCCCTTCTTGGCATTTGGATTAGGGTCTTGCACATAGCAGAGACTGAGGCGAGACAGGTAACTCCCTAGAGATACCCTACAAATAGAAGCGTTTGGTTACCAGGATATGAGGACAACAGCAAGCGTAGGGTTTCCAAAAACAGTGACTCATAGTCTCTCCCCCAGTTTGGTTTCTGTCCTTTATAGATCAACTGTTGCCAGTAGTATCTTTAATTGTAGTTTAATCTGGCATATGTTCCAGTGCTTTCTCCCTGAAACATTTTTCTAATCCAAAAAGAAATGTGTTCTAGAAGATTCCTTAAGTTACCTCTGTCATTGTTTACATTCAGAGAAGATTCACCATAGGCAAAACCATGTCATGTAAGGAAGTTTATGAGAATTGGGAAGAAATGGTGGAGGGGAGGCAGGGATGTTCAGTCTTGTGGGAAAAGATTAGACTTCCTCAGTCTGCCCCCAGGAGTGGGAACAGGATAGAGGAAGCCACAGGGAAAGAACTTTCAGCTCAATTTAAAGAACTTCCTGTTAAGAGACAATATGACGTGTAGTTAAGAATATGGCTCAGGAACCAAACTTCAAACCCAGACTTCACCCGGTCTCTGACCTTAACTAAATTATGTAACCTGTTGCTGATTTTTCTTTCATAAAATGGGTACAATAGTAGTATCCAACTCACTGTTGTTATGAAGATTAGACAAGGGATCCCTGGGTGGCACAGCGGTTTGGCGCCTGCCTTTGGCCCAGGGCGCGATCCTGGAGACCCGGGATCGAATCCCACGTCGGGCTCCCGGTGCATGGAGCCTGCTTCTCCCTCTGCCTGTGTCTCTGCCTCTCTCTCTCTCTCTCTCTCTCTCTCTGTGTGTGTGTGTGTGTGTGTGTGTGTGACTATCATAAAATAAAATTAAAATAAAAAAAAAAAGATTAGACAAGTTAACACACATAAGTCTTTAGAACAGTGCCTGGTACTCAGCTCAATAGACGTGAGCTATTGATGGTTAAAACTATCCAGAGATGCAGTGAGCTGCCTTGGGTAACAAGGACCAAGTTTCCCTTCACTAGAGATGCCCAAGTTTAGATGACCACTTAGAAAGGCTCAAGCACCTGGTGGGCAGGCGGATCAGATGCCCTGAGAGTCCCTGATGGTACTTGTCAATATGTCATTATGATGCCCCACCAAAAAAACCTTTCCTGCTTGGGGTTTGCTATGCTGTACGTTCTGTCGACTCCAGATTTTGAGCTCCTATCCCAAAGACGGTCATTCTCATGTCACACTTTCGGCAGGAGCCTGTCATTCTGCTGGGCCAGATTGGCTGTGATACCAATGGGAAGCTGAATAGCAAGTCAGTGATTCTTGAGGGAGACCGGGAACATTCCTCAGGGGCCCAGATTCCAGTGGATTTATCTGAGCTCAAAGAATATTCTCTGTTTCCCGGACAGGTGAGATGATCTATACTGTGTGTAGTGGGCGGGGGTAGGATGAGCCATTTCATCACTGGCTGCCTCTTACTTCCATCCTGTGGTACCATGAGGTGTGACCGGAGCCCAGGCTTAAGAGCAGACAGCCAAGTAGGAATTCCAGCTTGCCTGGAGTGCTCTGACCTCAGCTCCGGGATCTGCTGCCCAGTTTAGACTTTAACTCCACCCCCACGGAGTGTATCATTCTGGCCACATTGCTTATCCTCTTTTAAGTCAGAGTGTCTTCATCTCTAAAATGGGAATAATAATTCTTACCTCATAGGATTGTTACAAAAAATTAGATCATCCATATAGCACATAATTGTTCTTACTAATACATCCCTCCCTTAATTTGTTTTCTAGGAAAATACCCCCAAGTCTATGATTATAAAATGACATAGATGGACTTAGTACTTAATATACTTTTTTTTAAGATTTAATTTATTTCTTTGAGAGAGTGCTCGCACAAGCTGAGGGAGGGGCAGAGGGAGAGGGAGAAGCAGGCTCCCTGCTGAGCATAGAGCCTAATGATATGACTTGATCCCAGGACCCTGAGATCATGACCTGAACCGAAGGCAGACTCTTAACCAACAGACCACCCAGGTGCCCCTTAATAAAGTAGAGTAGCCCCCACATGGGGCTCAACCTCATGACCCCAGGATCAAGAGTCCCATGTTCTACCCACTGAGCCAGCCAGGCACCCCAGTACTTAATACTTTTTAACTATATCAAATTAGTTCATTGCCTACTTTTTGTTTATCTTCCTTGTTCTGCTTCTTGTCCTTCAGGTTGTAATTATGGAAGGCATCAACACGACAGGTAGAAAACTTGTTGCCACCAAACTCTACGAGGTACCACAGTGGTTGCCCCACCTCCCTCCTGCTTTGCTGCAGGCACAGTGTGTACAGTTCTGTCTGTCCTGGAAACTCAGAAGAGCCTATTTATTTGCTTCTCAATTCTCTGTAGAATGGGAAGCTACCTCTAGGCCCCCTTGCAAACCATTTCTGTAAAGGGCCCTACAGTAAAAACTTCAGGCTTTACAGGCCATATGGTCTCTGTCACAATGACCCAGCTCTCCCATTGTAGCACAGAAGAGCCATAAGCAGCCTGTAAACGAATGAGTGTGGCCATGTGCCAGTAAAACTTGATTTATGAAAACAGGCAGTAGCCAGATAGGGCCCAGGTTTACCCAGGCAATAGTCTTCCACAGATTTTCAAATAACATGAGCAAAAGTAGCAGATTCCCTGCTTTCTGGTCCTTGCCTAGTGATACTGATACTTCGGGTACCTGTGTCCTCCCACCTTTTGCTGGGTGTCATGAGTTTAGCCATGACCTCCCATCACTTGGGTTTCTTTGCCACTCTGAACCACATAGAAAAATGGCAGGCACCATGGGTTCTGTGAGGTTTTAGTTCCAGGGAGAAAGGCTGAGACTTCCTTCCGTATCTCAGCCCTTCCCCACCACCCTCCCCACCTGCAGATGCTATCTCCCCCCACCTCCAGTTCAGGCCCCCCCCTTTTTTTTAACTGAAGGCTGTGCCTGGAATTAAAACTCACTGTAACTTTTCTCCTGTTTTCAAGGGCTTGCCGCTTCCATTTTATCAGCCCACTGAGGAGGATGGAGGTAAGTTTGGGTTTAAACATTGTTTTGCTATCAGTAAGTGTGTTAGATAAGGGTCCAGGCTCCTTGGGCCCTGAGAAAGCTGCAAGAGCTGCCTGGGAGCACCTCAGTGGAGCCGGGGGAGGGGGTGGGAGTGGACATCAAATGGGTGGCTTCACAGGCCCTTCATGGAAGGCCAGGGTCCAAGCCTGGTGAGCGTTGCCACCCGAGTTCTGGCTACACAAGGCATGCCATCTGTGTCTAGAAGTTTTTCCTTTATAAAAGGAAAAATAGGAATAATTGTATTTATTTTTATTTTATTTTTTTAAGTTCTATTTATTCATGAGAGACACAGAGAGGTAGAAACATAGGCAGAGGTAGAAGCAGGCTCCCTGTGGGGAGCCCAATGTGGGACTTGATCCCAGGACCCCAGGGAGAAGGCAGATGCTCAACCACTGAGCCACAGGCATCCCAGGAACAGTTTTAAAAAGAGTTTCTTTCAATGCACTGTGGTATCCTGGACAGTAGTCGAAAAAAGGGACATTAGTGGAAAAGCTAGTGACCTCCACATAGTCAAGAGTTAAGAGTAATGAGCCAGCATTAATTTCTTCATTTTGTTTTGTTTTTTAAAGATTTATTTATATTAGGGGGGGCACATGCTCACATGGGAGGGAGGGGACACCTGACATAGGGCTTGATCTCATCACCCTGAGATCATGACCTGAATTGAAATCAAGAGTCAGACACTTAACCAATGGAGCCACCCAGGCACCCCTGGATTCATTTTGACAAATGCACCTTAGTCAAGCAGGATACTGGCATAACTTGGTATTATCTTTGCAACTTTCCTACATTTCTAAAGTTATTCCAAAATAAAAAGGTTATTAAAAAATCAGACAAATTGCTGGGGCACCTGGGTGACCCAGTTGCTTAAGCATCTGACTTCAGCTTGGGTCATGATCTTGTGGGGGAGGGGTCACTGCTCAGTGAGGAGTCTGCTTCTCCCTCTCCCTCTGGCACTGCCACTTCCCCTGCCCCTGCGCTCACACGCTACTCTCTCAAATAAATGAATAAAATCTTAATTTTAAAAAGTTAAGTTTCCAAGGAAGCCTAGAGTTATTTGGTTACTAATGTAGATGGGAAAGGACAAAAAAAAATTTTTAACAGACTGCTTCAAAATAATTCAAAGTGTTTTTGAAAGCAAAGCAGAAGATTGTTGAGGACTCGCGATGAGATGGCCGACACTAGGGTATGTCAACACTCCATGCACAGTAACAGTGTGTGAGGTCATTCTTGGAGGTGACCTAGAATCGGGAATGAAATTTAGGTTTATGACATTGCACATTGCATCAGAAGATCCGTGTTTCTGGCAGAGAGGAGTGTGATGGCATTAGATCCACTTCAGGTGGTAGAACAAAATTGATGTGGCTGAGATGCCCAGAGCCACAGCTGTGTGCCAGGGGAAGCTGTTGAGTAAGTTATTAGCAAACATTTTTGACCGAGGTACTGAGCTAGGCATTCATGGAGACACAGAATAAGATGTGGACCCTCTTCTGCTGGCACTTGCTAATTTACTCCAGGGTTTACATCTCCTCTGGGCTTCTCAGAACCAAATTGAACTTTGTCCCCTGCCCCAGCAGTGCATGAAATGGACTCTTCTCCCCTGAACTCTTGATTTCACTTCCTGGTATTCCTTGCTCTGATAGACAAGTAATAGCCTAATCCTGGGAGCATGTGACTCTGTTGCTTTATATAGCAAAAGGGGCTTTGCAGGTATGCTTCAGTTAAGAACCTTGAGATGGGGATCATCCTAGATTGTCCACGTGGGCTCGTTGTAATCACAAGGGTCTTTATAAGGGGGAGGGCAGAATGATCCACGTCAAAGATAGAAATAGTAGGCTCCTGGCTCTGGAGATGGTGGGGAGGGGTCATGAGTTGAGAAATGCAGGTGGCTTCTAGATGCTGGGAAAGGCAAGGAAACAGATTCTTACCTGGAGCCTCTAGAAGGAATGTAGCCTTGCCAAAACCTTGATTTTAGGACTTCTGACCTCCAGAACTGTAATCATAAATATGTGTTGTTTTAAGCCACTAAGGTTGTGATGATTTGTCACAGCAGTCCTAGGAAACTAATACAATTACATGTTAAGAAGTCAGAGTTTGGTTTTTGTTAGCATAAGTTACAGAAACTGGTTCAGGGATCACTGGGTGGTGCAGCGGTTTGGCGCCTGCCTTTGGCCCAGGGCATGATCCTGGAGACCCGGGATCGAATCCCACATCGGGCTCCCGGTGCATGGAGCCTGCTTCTCCCTCTGCCTGTGTCTCTGTCTCTGTCTCTCTCTCTCTCTCTCTGTGACTATCATAAATAAATAAATTTAAAAATAAATAAAAAATAAAAACTTTTAAAAAAAATAAAGAAACTGGTTCAGACTGACTTAAGAAGGAGAATCTGTTAGGGGAAATCCAGCTAGCTCACAGCTAGGACAGAGAGGGAGCTAGAAATGCAGACTTAGAAGCAGATAATGACCTCACAACTCTAGTGTCCAGCTAGCAGGAATTCCCCAACTATCTCATCCGGTTACCTCTGGCTTGAATAGGTCAGCTCCACCCTTTTTTCTGTTCTTGAATAGTTCACTTTGAGATTCCAGAACCAGGGAGGAGAGTGGATAACTTAAATGGTTTACACGCCTGTCTCTTGGCTAGGGGACAACAGTATAGCACACAAACCCCTGCCCCGAACTGCCTTACGGAGGAAAGGGCTAGCTCTCCCAAAGGAGAGCCAATGTCAGGAAAAGGGCAGTGCAAGCCAGATGGCCACACATCACATCTCTGTGCCTCTCACGCAGGAAGCCCATGCCATGCCTCACACTCTGCCCGTCTTTCTGGAGTCCTCATGGGACCACATTCTCCAGCCACACTGGACCACCCGATGTCTCCTCCTGCCAAGCACACTCAAACCACACACTCACCAGGACCCTGCCCTGCCCTTGCTTCTGGAAGATTCTACTCACAAGCATAAGCAAAATGAAGTAAACCAGTCACAAAAAAGATAGTGTGTAGTTCCACTTACATGAGATAGAGGAGCCAAAGTCCTAGAGACAGAATAGAATGGTGGCAGCCAGGGGCTGGACGAGGGGATGGGAAGTTCGTGTTTAGTGGGACAAGAGTTTCAGTTTGACAAGAAAAGAGTTCTCTGAATGGATGACAGTGACAGTTGGACAGCATTCTGGATTTAATGCCACTGAAATGTACACTTAAAAATGATTACAATGATAAATGTTATGTTATTTGTATTTTACCACAATAAAAAAAATAATAAAGGGAGTGCATAAGCAAATCTCACCCTGATCAGGTCTCTCCTGATTGTTGCTGCTTCCCATCACTCACGTGCACTGCTAGCAAACTGCCTGTCCCTCTCTAGTTATTTGCATACATCCTATTCTTTGAGGATAGGGATGAAGTCGTGGATTGCCAGAGTTGTACACATAAGGAGCCTCTCAACTAACTGGATCCTGGAGTATTTTTCCCTAATTGTCCTTTCTCCCACCATCCGATTGTCTTCTAATCAATACTTTATGATCCTTTCTGTCTTAGATTTTGAGCAAAACATGGTCCTGGTGGCCTGTGGGCCATATACCACATCTGACAGCATCACGTACGACCCCCTGCTCGATCTGATCGCCATTATCAACCGCGATCAGCCGGATGTCTGTATCCTGGTAGGAAGCTCTCTGGGGACAGCTTCACTGGGGAAGCCACCAGCAGGAAAACTGGAAAGGAGACCTTAGAAAAAGGCCAGGGGTGCCTGGGTGGCTCAGTCGATTAAGCATCCAACTCTTGGTTTCAGCTCAGGTCATGATCTCAGGGTCGTGGGATCGAGTCCCAAGTCGGGCTGTGTACTGAGTGAGGAGGCTGCTTTAGATTCTCTCTTCCCTCCACTCTGTTCCTCCCCTCCTCGTATGTGCTCTGTCTCAAATAAAAAGGTATTTTTAAAAAAGGAAAGAAAGGCCCAGTGTTGCAGGAGGCAGTATGACTGGTTATGGGGCCCTGGCAGCCTCCCTCCACCCAGGGTCACAGCCTTTGCCTGTGATATTGGCCGGGCAGCCCCACTCCATCTGCTCCCTGTCCCAAGCTCTACAGATGGACCCTAGGCAGAGAACCACAGGGAGAGGGTGTATGAAGGCACTCATGGACGTGTGTGGTTCTGATACCTTTGTTTCTCCCTCGGGCTTATTTGCAGTTTGGACCTTTCCTGGATGCCAAGCATGAACAGGTTGAGGTGAGTGACAGGGACTGGGAAGGGGAAGTGCCGGATACTTGTATCCAGTTGAGCCCTCACTATTTCCATATTTGGGGGTTTGTGTTGCATTTGTAACAGACCTAAATTAATCCCTGTGGCTAATCAGAAAAACATTGTAGCAGGGTGTTTTTATAAAGATACTGAATTTGAAGGCTTCATGTCACCAGGATACAAGGCCGTTGGGAAGCTGGGGGAAGGAAGTAGTCTGTAAGTCTGGTGTACCCCTGTGACGCTTAGTGCTAAGGCCCAAGCACACTCACACAGATGCAGGTGGCTGTGGCTCACTGAGCTGCTACCCTTGGCTCCATGACCCATGTCTTGCTGTCATGGAGAAAATACAAAAAGGTCCTTCCCGGGACATCTCCCTGTCCAAAAGCTGGCACCTCCTATCCTCTGTTCCAGGATATTGTAACCTTCCATAGAAAGGATTTCCGAACGCTCTTCCTTATAGTCTTTCTCTCAACTTACATTCTAGAAGATGAATCACTCCCCCCATCCCCTTTCCTGCCCCCAAAGAGACTGCTCCTTGAGGACAGAGACCATGGGTCTTTCATCTTCATGTGTTCTCCAGCTCCTCAACAGCTGGCCACTGGGGTCACTCAGCACAGTGGCAAGTGAATAAAGCCTGCCTGGCCTCTGAATTGGTCTCCTTCCTTCTCTTGCAGAACTGCCTGCTCACAAGTCCATTTGAAGATATTTTCAAGCAGTGTCTGCGGACAATTATTGAAGGGACGCGAAGGTCAGAATTCAGAATGTTGGACAGAATCTTAGGCTGCCCAGTTTCTCCAGGGCTTCCCAGTGAGAAGCTAAACTGTCGGAAAGTAACAGTAGCTTCTGTCCCTTCATCCTTTTGAACCACAGAGTTCAGATCCACCTCTTGACTCCCAAGTGTGCTGACGCCGGGTTAAGAGGCATCTTTGTAAAACACATAGATAAACACACTTGACAGGAAAAGGCTGCTTGGACTTTCGCTCTTCCCTGGCTTGCTCTTTACTTCCTTCCTTTTCTTACTCTCTTGTAGAAATTCCTATTCCCTGGGAATCTTCCCAGCTGATTCTGAGAAGTGTTTGATGAGTTACCCAACAAAATCCCTAGGGGCCCCAAACATCTTGCTGCATGAGTGATTGTTTTGGGGTATAGCCCAAGTTCCCCGGAGTCAGAGCTGCCCCACTTTTCATGGGGCACTGCCGGGGCCAGAGCAGGCCATGGTAGAGCCTGGAGGGTGGGCAATGGGGAGGACCTTGAATCTTCACCATAGACCGACAAGCAGGAACTGCCAAGAGAGATTTCCAATTCTAATTTGAGAGAAAAGGCTCTATTCCAGGAAGGGTCTAGAACTACAAGTAGGAAGTTCTTCAGGAAGCTAACCTCCTCACTTCCTGTCTCTCTTCCTCCAGGGCCAGAGTTTGAAAGGAATTGGTAAAGGTTATAGATCTCCTCCTCCAGGGACTTGCCTGCCAGTAGCTGAGCTCACAGAAGATAAACATTCCGAGGCTAAGCTTTTAAGAACAAATCTGTAACAAAGGTGGTTTTTAAAACAAGATGTATAATCTTCCACCCATTGGCCGTGAGAACCGATCCCAGAACCGATTAGGTTAGTCGTAATACTACCTTCTTGTATGGGCAGCAGGGCCAGTCTGGCAGGCCTGGGGGACTGGGGAGCAATACCCCCTAACTTGCTGGAAGCCAGGGGACTTGAGTCTGCTGTGTCTGGGTCTGTCCCTTCCCCACTCCCTCCCTCAAATGAAGGTAGTACAGATGCTCCCCTTTTGCCCCCCACATTTGTTGTGACACTGTTGAGTTCATCAGACCTGGAGAGCACATAGTGCTCCTCAGAGATCCACCCACCCCACCAACTGCCAGGAGCAGGGCTGTGTCCCTGTTCTGCTGGGTCCCCTGGGGATAGGCAGGGACCGCATAGCAGAGCCCCAGCAGGCCCCCAGCGAGTTGGGTGTTCTCAGTGCGACATTGGGTTCTGTTTTTGGTTCCTCGCTCCGTGTGGTAGTGACAGCAGTGGGACAAACAAACAACAAACCAGGGATTGTTACTGTGGGGTGAGTGCCCAGCGCTGCCAGGCACTTTCATCTATAGTCAGTCTGTCCCTCTGGGCAGGGGGAGCTGCCCCACCCTGCCCAAAACAGTATATAAGTATCCGTGCTGGGGAAACTTATTTTTTATTCCCAAGAGACCAGAAATGCAGAGCACAAAGTTGATTTATCAGCCAAAGCCAGAACTCTAGAGGAAGCACCCCCTCCACAGAGAGCCAAGCTGCAGAGTCCAGAGGGAGCGGCTGTGGTTGCAAGGACCCTCCCACTGGGAGGCACGAGCTTGTGCAATGCTCAGCATAGTTAGAATTTTCTTTCAGATCCCTCCCCCTACAGCCACTTCATAACCATGAGCAGGAGGGCTGTTTCCTCCTTAACCATTGCTCTTCCGGCACCTGAAACAGCAGCTCCCCCGCCAACAGAGGCTGACTGAACCTCTGGCTTTTGTGTCCATCACAGACTGAGCCTGCGGGGTCTGGAGTGCAGCTAGTCCCATGCAGCTCAGCCCCAGCTTTGTTTGGGTAATAAGTGTACTTTTCCGTGTCAAAGGGACTGCAACTAATGTGCAAAGTACCCATGGTCTCAAGACCTGGGTTTCCTGTTGCAAAAGTCTCAGTTCCCACGCTGAGCAGATATCACAGACAGTGACCAATGTGATCAAATCACCAGTACATTTATCCTGTAGGAAAGGCAGCTGTGGAGCTGTACTTGGGTCTGGGAAGGCCATACATTTTAAGCAAGACAGGGAGCTGGCATTGATCGTTGTTGGTGGATTTTAAACACGCCCTCAAAGTGACACTTTGCACTTGTGTGGTTTATAATAAGCCCCTCTGCCAAGCACAGCTGAGGGAATCAAGGAAATGGGATCTTTCTTCCTTTCCTCTTTGGTGTGGCTAAGGAGGACAAACAGGTCCCAGAGTTACGGGTTTTTCTTCACTAATATGTTGTACCCCAGAGATTCTCCTGCCTCCATCAAAGGAAATCTATACTTTTACTATTGCTGTTAAATACTCCTGTTGCTTTTGCAAGATAGCCTGCCGAAAAAAACAGGGGCCATTGTCTCCCTGTGCGAGAGGTAAGGGGCTCAGAGAGACCCCAGTTGCTCTCTTCCCCCATCCTCTAAAGGGGCCTCTGTCCCTTGTTGTAATTGGGACCCGGTATTCTGGTAGGAAGGTGCAGTGTGATCCCTAAGCATGAAGGCAGTGTATGGGTCTGGTCAGCCTGCCTGGTGTCTTCCTGGGAAAGAGCCCCCATCAGGGAGACTAATTAATGCTAAGCCACGTCTGCATGCATAGCGTGTAGAATCAGAACATAGGTTTCAGTTCTGGCTGCAGGGTTCTTGATTCTTTAGGCAAAACCTCATCTTTCTAGATTTCCTATATCCCAATTTCTTCTCCCCCTTTCCTACCAAATGGCCCCATCCTCTCCCCAGTGGAACCCCACCCAGAGCCAGGAGAAAGCATGTCCTGGGTGACCTGAGCCCTGTTGAGGTAGGTGTGTGGAAACAAAGACAAATTGTCTTTTGCTCACAGCATCCCATGGGAACAGTACATCTCCTCCTAGAATTGAGTTCGGAAACTCTTCCCTGGATGGAGGTTCTTGTCTCGAGCTCTGACATTTCCAGTCTGTTGTCCAGCTGTTCTAACTCAGCTGCTTTCATTTTTCTCCCTCTTCTGATGGTTTCTCAACAAAGCAGCTCTGGCTCCCATCTCGTCTTTGTCCCATCCGTGAGGGATGTGCACTGTGAGCCCGTGTACCCACAGCCACCTTTCAGCTACTCCGACCTGGCTCGAGAAGACAGAAAGGTACCAGCATCCCCTCCCTGACCAGCATGCAGCCAGAATCAGTGACCCCCTCTGGCCCCTCAGTGGAGGGCAGAGATGCCTTTTTGGGGCAGGGCCTGAATCCTCAGCTTCTTTTTTTCCTTTTTTTATTTTTATTTTTTCTAAAGATTTTATTTATTTATTGATGACAGAGAGAGAGAGGCAGAGACATAGGCAGAGGGAGAAGCAGGCTCCATGCAGGGGGCCCAGTGTGGGACACAATATCAGAACTCTGGGATCACACCCCGAGCTTCAGCAGACACTCAACTGCTGAGCCACCCAGGCATCCCTCAACTTCTTTTTTTTAACAGACAGATGTATCTGTGATGTACTGTGCATCAGTTTGGCCCCCATTTCAATGCTCTCCCCACCCCCAGGAGACATACCCATATACCCTCCCCCGAGGAAGAAGTTTCTAGCTTTTGTGCACAAATGTTTGTCTCAGGATGCCTGGGTGGCTCAGTGATTGAGCATCTGTCTTTAGCTCAGGTTGTGATCCCGGGGTCCTGGGATCGAGTCCTGCATCGGGCTCTCCACAGGAAGCCTACTTCTCTCTCTGCCTGTGTCTCTGCCCCCCTCTGTGTGTCTTTCATGAATAAATAAGTAATATCTAAAAAAAAAAAAAAGAAAAAAACATTTGTCTCATTCCCTCTCATTTTAGCGAGTGCACTTCGTGTCTGAGCCCTGCAACCTCTCCATAAACGGAGTGATCTTTGGCCTGACATCCACAGATCTGCTGTTCCACATGGGAGCCGAAGAGATCAGTAGGTGGGACACGGTTCCAGTCTAGCAGGCGGGACGCTGGCTCTCAGGACCCTGGGCCTTTCTTCAACCAAGAGACTCAAGGGGCTGCTTGGCAGTCTGTACTAGGGAAATCCTTAGAGCAGCCCTTTGGTGGCAGACCCGGTGGCAGGGTTTCTCTGTTCCTGGAGGGAGCAAGTGGATGCTTTTGTTGCTGCTAGCACTTGCCTGTAGAGTGTTGGACCCCAGAGAACCATGGCCATCTGGCTTTGTGCTTCATTTATAATCACAGAAGTTCATCTCCTTTTCCTTACCTCCCACATTCAGGGCCTAAACAGTAGTGAGTGTCCCTGCTCATGGAGGATGAACTGCAGAGCTACTCAGGGGATGTGGGTCTGCAGAGAATCAGACTGAGCCTTGCCTACTGATGTAGGTTTAGCAGTTCCTCCATCGTGTGAAGCAATGTGTGTGTTAGGCGAGATGGGTGTGTGCTTGTTGGCTGAGGTTTGAGGTGCAAGGGTCACCCTGACTATATACGCTCACTGCACGTTGGTGCACTCCATGCACATTCTTGCACAATACAGCTTTGGCCAAAAGCCTGAGGGATCATGAGGGATCCCCGCTCTTTCCCCTCACAGCCTGAGAGCCTGCTCCCCTTCTCAGGTGGGAATAGACTGAACTTTTGTGGATGGGTCTTTAAATTTCCCCAGAGGTACCCTCCATCCCTGTGTGCTGGCCACATAGTATCTCCCTGGTTTATTAAGTCCTCCCCAAAGAGAAATGGGAGTTGAGGAACAAGGCTCTGCATTCCATTTCTTGCTTCTCTTCCTGCCCCAGTGCTTCTGGAACTTCAGACAGACTCAGCCGAATCCTTAAACACATCCTGACCCAGAGAAGGTAAGTTCACTCATGGGAATAACTAGCCAGGACAAGTGTGCTGTGGGGTCTGGTGCTCTGATAGATTTGATTGGAAGTACCTTCCTTGGGTCACTACCAAGGAACCCCATCCTCATGATGATAAGCCTGCCTTGTCTTCCCTAAATACAGGGAGGAACAGGAGAGACGGTCTGTGAAAGCTCGGGAACCAGTGACCTAGAGGGAAGCCATGTGGGAATAGAGGGCCCCAAATCAGCCACTGCTGACTATTTTTCTCCCATCTGTAGCTACTACCCACTCTACCCTCCTCAGGAAGACATGGCCATTGACTATGAGAATTTCTACATCTATGCACAGTTGCCCATCACCCCAGACATCTTCATTATCCCATCAGAGCTGAAATACTTCGTGAAGGTAGGTTTGAAGTCTGCTTTTTCCCAGAAACACCAGGATCAAGTCTGACTTTCCCTTCTAGACCATTGGTCCTCACTCTTCATGCTAGGGACAGTGCCCTCTCTCTGGGAGAGGTGGAAAAGGACTCGAAAACTAATCTGTTAGGGATGTCTGGGTGGCTCAGCAGTTGAGCGTTTGCCTTTGGCCCAGGGCGTGATCCTGCAGTCCCGGGATCAAATCCCACATCAGGCTCCCTGCATGGAGCCTGCTTCTCCCTCTGCCTATGTCTCTGCCTCTCTCTCTCTCTCTCTCTCTCTCTCTCTCTCTCTCTCTCTCTCGTCTGTCATGAATAATAAAATAAAAGAGAGAACTACTCTGTTAATAACACATTTAAGTTAAAGCCGCCCCCTGCTCCCTTGTACCCACCCTGGTGCTCAGTCAGCCAACCTGGGAGCCCCATGGGTGGGTAGGAAGCCCCTCAAATGGTGGTTGTCACGTGGGGCCGTGTCAGGGTGACCTGGGAACATTACACACATGCACTTGCCTGCCTCCACTGCCCCTTGCCTGAATTTGGGTGTGATCCCCAGGGGAGGCTCAGCCATGAGAACTTTTTTTTTTTTTCTTTTTTCTTTTTTTTAAGATTTTTAGTTACTGGGGGATACCTGGGTGGCTCAACAGTTTAGAGCCTGCCTTCGGCATGATCTCCAGGGTGTGATCCTGGAGTCCCAGGATCGAGTCCCACATCAGGCTCCCTGCATGGAGCTTGCTTCTCCCTCTGCCCCTCTCTCTTTCTCACTCTCTCTGTGTCCTTGTGAATAAATAAAACCTTAAAAAAAAAAAAAGATTTTTAGTTAGTTATTCATGAAAGAGAGTGAGGTGGAGACATAGAGGGAGAAGCAGCCTCCCTGTGGAGAGCCTGATATGGGACTTGATCCCAGGACCCCAGGATCATGACCTGAGCCAAAGGCAAATGCTCAACCACTGAGCCACCCAGGCGTCCCTCAGCCATCAGAACTTTGAAGAAGCTCTTGGGTCATTCCTATCTTTGCCACCCGAGTTGGATCCCTCATAATAGATCCACTCAACTAGTAGCCCTCTTGCCAAACCAGAGACAGTTCAACCTCAAGGGGCAAAAATTTGTTCCCATGTTGGAACACAGTAACCAGATCAGGTTTGTCTTCAAATCTGGGAGCCGGTTGTTACTCCTCTGTATTCTGTTTCAGAGGCTCAGAAGGAATTCAGCATTTTCCAATAGTAAATTCACCTTGTAGGCTTGAGATGTGTTCAGTTGCCTTCCTTTACACTTTCTAAACCTCTCTCTGGGATCTGATGGTTAGATGAGTCCTGCTCTCTCACATCGGCCCCTTTGCTTTCCCCAGGACGTCCTCGGCTGTGTCTGTGTGAATCCCGGGCGCCTCACCAAAGGGCAGGTTGGGGGCACCTTCGGCCGGCTCTTCCTCAGGAGGCAGCAGGCCATGGGCGGGGAAGGGAGGCAGAGTCCGTGCACTGCCGCCCAGGTGGTCAGGATCTGACGCCCGTGCTCACAGACATCTGGGATCCCAGCCATTGAGAGGTAGAGGAGAGAGGACAGCCATCTGGAGAGGAGAAGCTGTGGGGCGTGGACCCAGCGGGCAAGGCCTTGTGCAGCTGGGCCCTGACTCTTAGTCAAGCTGCTCTGGCAGAAAGCTGTTGTTTCTTCCTGGACCCACAGTCCAGAGCGAACTGGCTGTGGATGCAGCCTGCTCAGAAAAGACAAGACGACTTTGTGATTTTCTACAAGAGGACTTTTGGAGAAATAAAAGTCAATTCTGAGGGTGACTTCGGAGTTTCATTCTTCGGCTCTTGCTCTTTCCTGGCAGTAAACAAAGAACAGTGCCTCCTTGACCTGTGCCCAGAGAAGGCAGAGCATCTGTCACCCTGGGTTTCTGTCCGGTCACCACCCTGACCCTCCCAAGGCCCCTGTGGCCTCTGCCGAGGAGATGGTGCTGGGCCAGGCCACGGAGCCAGGTTGCAGAGTGAGCAGCTGGCTGCACGCCTCGCCCTTCCTGGCGCAGCCCTCGCATGCGTGTTGTGGTCTCAGCCTGACCTCTGCATCTGGAGGGGGCGGCCTCATGGAGCCCTGCCAAAGCAGGATTCCTGGGTACCAATCCTGCCAAGCTGCTCAGCACACAGTGCTCGCCCACGGCCCGGAGCCCTTGGCCAGGCGGGGCCCTTTAAAGTCCCTGGACATCTCCTGTGTCCTGGCATTTGATGAGAGGCTGTCACTGGCTAAACATGGCCCGGGTTTCTGCCCAAAGCTGCCAGCTCTCCTGCCTCCTGCTGAAGCCAAACCCGAAGAGCTGGACTCCTGAACTGAGAGAAGTGTGCAAAGGAATGGCGGATGTGATGCCCACACCCTGAGTCAGAGATAAATAGATGACTGAGCAGTGTCCAACCTTTGCCTCCCACCTCAGACAGTGAGGTGGAATCCACAGCAGATCCATCCGGGTTTGGGTGAAACTGGTCTCCCTTTGAAAACAAGGCAGCTGCGGTTTTGTCTCATTCATTTTATAGGCGCCTCCTCTGAACACAAGGACCAGAGACAAGCCCCAGCTTGGGGAGCTGACTTTCCCTCAAGATCCCCTGCATGGGAAGCACCCAGCCACAGGGCCAAGGGCTACATGGGTCTCTGTAGCATTTTGGGAAGCCGGGCCCCTCTTCCACAACCTCCAACAGTTGTCCCCCAGTTCAAGAATAGCATTTACGGGGACACCTGGGTGGCTCAGTGGTTTGGTGCCTGCCTACAGCCCAGGGCATGATCCTGGAGACCTGGGATCGAGTCCTACATCAGGCTCCCTGCATGGAGCCTGCTTCTCCCTCTGCCTGTGTCTCTGCCTCTCTCTCTCCTTGTCTCTCATGAATAAATAAATAAAATCTTAAAAAAAAATAGCATTTACGTTTCCACCAACCTCAACGTTGGCAAAACCCTGCCCTCCTTCCCCCCACCTTGGAAAGCCCTTGCTTGGGAAGATGAGCCAACAGGCCCTTGGCCACGATAAGCCAGGCTCTGAGCCCTTATCACATGAGCCCATGCATGGCTCTTAGGGACCCATGGCTCTTGCCAATTACGCTCATAATGCTGCTGAGGAGGCTTTGTGGAGACTCATCACACCCTGGTCCCCACTGGGTAAGATACAAAGCCCCCTGTCCCCCTTATTACAGACAGCAAGATCCAGAGGCCCCGTGGGATGGGGCAGCTGGCAGAGGGGGAGGAAAGTCTTGCATGGGGTGGGGAGGCATGTGTGGGGCAGAGGGAGGTGGGGTGCAGCCTCCAGCCTCTGGGGGAGAAAGCTGGAGCTCAGCATGAATGGAAGCGCATGCCCGTTGCCTGGATACAAGTCGTGACCGTTGGAATGATCCTGGAGGGCCAGAGCAGGCATTTAAAACTCAAACAGAAAGCAGGATGCAAACCCCAGATTGCAGACAGCTCTGGTTGGTGAGTGCCTCTCCACCACCAAACTGTCTTTCCCTCTTGTCTGGAAGTCAGTACCCGGGACTGCCAAACTGGCTGCTCCTAGGTCTCTTTCTAGCTGGGTAGCTAATTTCCTGAATCATTGTCCCTCTTGCTCAAGTAGGGCTCTTCCCCCTGCCTGTGCCAGGCACACGACCTCTGGTGTCAGGCTCTGGGAGGGGCGTCGGTGGGAAGGGGGCAGAAAGCCTAGGAGCTGGGGCTGGGCCAGAGCTCCTGGGACCCTCCTACCTTGGATCCCCTTCTGTTTGGTGTCATGTCCCCTGGTCCTGGCTGTGCCTGTCCCCTTGAGACACAAGCCTAAGAGTGGAGCAGATGGTGAGCAAAATCCCTGTGCTCTCACCAAGTTTCCTGGCTCCATGTCCCAGACCTCGTGCCGGAGGAGGGCCACTGCCTCTTCCTCACTCACAGGTGCTGGTAGCCTGAGGCTGCCCTCCCTATACTCTTGCATGGCCATCCTATAGGATTCAGGCTCTGTCTCCAGGAAGGTCAGGGGAGAGCTGCAAAGGGGGACCCCAGTGGGATCTAAGAAGGAAGCTGGGGGATTGGAGCGGCAGAGGCACCCAGAGGAGGGCTGGGGCAGGGCCATGACTCTGCTCCTTGGGGCCTCCATCCTGCTCTGCCTCTGCAATGACTTTGGGCTTGGCGTTTCCTTTCCCTTGACCTGGGGTCACCCAGCCTGGCTCAGCCTGTCTTGCAGCTTCCCCTGTTGCTGGGAGTAGCCTTCTGGGCTGATTTTTCATTTCTGTTTGGTACATATTTCCTTTCCCCTGGCTGAGCCCCCCGAGAGCCAGTCCTGGTTGGCCACACAGGGCGTCTTCCTCCACACTTGAGCCTTCTAACTAATGAGACATGAAGGGCCTTGACTGGCTGGGAGGAGGGGGGAGGGTTTTTTAAAAAACATTTTAAAAATTAGTGAGATATATGACCAGCATCAACTTTACCATCTTACCATGTACCATTCAGTGGGTTTTAGCACATTCACAAGGTCATATAAACATCATTACTATTGAATTCCAGAGGCTTTCCATCACCTCTGAAAAACCACACCCCCATTAGCAGGCACTCTGCACCCCTGGTCACCCCCATCCTCTGGAAAAGAGACCTACTTTCCACCTCCACAGACTTGTCTGTTCTGGGCACATCACACAAGTGGAATCACACAATTCATAATGCTCTGCGTCTGGCTTCTCTGAGCATCATGTTTTCAAGGGTCATCCACGTTGTCACAGGTGTCAGGAGTTCGTTTCTTCCCTCGTTTTGTTTTTTGTTTTTTTTTTTTTTAAGATTTTATTTATTTATTCATGAGAGACACAGAGAGCGAGAGAGCGAGGCGGAGACACAGGCAGAAAGAGAAGCAGGCTCCATGCAGGGAGCCCGACGTGGGACTCGATCCCCGGTCTCCAGGATCACGCCCTGGGCCAAAGATGGCACTAAACCACTCAGCCACCCGGGCTGCCCTCTTTCTTCCCTCATTTGAGTGATATTCCATCATACAGATAGTGTTTTCTTTTCTCACCCATTGGGTGATGGACACCGGGGCTGTTTCCCCTTTCTGGCTGTTGTAAATGATGCTCCAAGGGTCGGAACATCCGTCTTCAGTGCTCTCATTACAAACCCTGGCATGGGAGGGAAGGGGCTTTAGGTTTATGGGGGAAGAGAATGCAAGGAAGGAGGAGGACAAGAGGAGGGGCAGAGAGGGACAAAATGAAGCTCCGCCTGGGATGGAGCTTTGGAGCCAGATGGTGAAGTAAGGAATGCCTTGCAGAGGAGTTTGGACTTGATTCACCCCAGGGAACTTTGGAAGGCTTCTGAGTAGAGTGGAAGGACAGTATGGAACCTACGTCTTAGGAAGGCCTGGCAGTGCCACAGAGGGCAATGTGGAGCTAAGAGAGGCTGGAGGCCAAAGACACTCTAAGAGCTATGGGAAGACAGAGCCACCCAGTACCCACTCTCCGTTCCCATGGAAGCAGGACCCCAGTTTTCCTGTGGGCAACCACCCCTCCTCTACACTCCTCCTTTGTCTAAACCAAGCAGCACATTGCACCTCCCTGGCCTCGGTGAATGGCCAAGGATAAGCATGACCAAAGACAGTCCAAACAATAACTCCAGAACTTCTGCAGAAATGGTAGAAAAGACACAGCCAAAAGGTGGAGCTGCTGCAGCCATCTCGCCACAATGAGGGAAACCCATCCTGAATAGGGACTAACCCAGAGGACACATTGCCAGGAATTAGGGAGAGGTTAGCACCAGGCCACGTTGTCTGAGCTCTGATGAAGCTAGCCCCCACCCCCCAAAATCTAAACCACAAATACCACCCCCGCTTTTTCTTAAACTAGTGGGAATTGAATTTTCTGTCATTTGCAACCAAAACAATGAGGGCCTGATCCAGGACAGAAGGACTAGGATGACTGCCAGAGGACAAACGGAGAAAACACAGTTCAGATGGGAAGGTGAGGGAGTTAACATTTCTGAGGATGTTCTGTGTGCACTTAGAGATTATGTCAAACTCTCCCAACAAACCCTGCTGGCAGGTGCTAAGAGGTTGGAGGGCAGCCTGGATGGCTCAGCGGTTTAAGCACCTGCCTTTGGCCCAGGGCGTGATCCTGGAGTCCCAGGATCGAGTCCCACGTCAGACTCCCTGCATGGAGCCTGCGCCTCCCTCTGCCTGTGTCTCTGTCTCTGTCTCTCTCTATCATGAATAAATAAATAAAATCTTAAAAAAAAAGTGATGGAGCTGGGATTTAAGCTCCAAGTGCTTTGTCTCTCTGCCCTGCCATGCTGACCAACTTGGCACACAGCAAAGACACACTCAGAAGGAGTTGGAGGTAGCAGTCCAGGTGCCCGGGAGCCCAGCAGAGTTGGAGGAGTTCAAGGAGGGTTGTTTGGTGGGGGGTGCCTGGGACTACTGGGGGCAGGTTGGGACTAAGGGGGACACCCAAATGGCTACTGGGCTGAGCTATTGGGTGACAGGAGCAGCACTCTGGTGAGGGGTGGGACTGGACTGATTGATCTGGGAGTTGCCCGCCTAAAGCTCACCGCACTCAAAAACTAGAGGACTTGGAGGTACTGCGGGTCTGGCTGAGGAGCGGGGAGCTGGAGGTGGAGCTGACACTGCTGGCATCCCAGTCTGGAGGTCACTGAGGTGGCTGTCATGGAGGCAGGGCTCCATCAGCTGCACTCGGGCTTTTGGGTCCCTTTGTCACCCTGGCCTCCATCGTTCTGGTTTCCTATCCCTGAGCAGCCAGGTCTGTTTGTTCCCTCCGGTCTGCTCCTACCTGGGCCCACAGCCAGTTCCAGATTCCCCCCA